ATAAAAAACTTTATTAAATTTTTAAGAATTTCATATAATACGTTTTGATCATATTTAGACCTCCTCCCCTAGCTGCCCCCCCCCTTAACAACTCCCAATCCCCATTGGATTTCATATATATTTGTTTGTTTGTTTGTTTGTTTGTTTGTTTGAAGTCCTGTCAAGTCAAATTTGTGTTTTCAGTGTAGATCCATTCACTGGAGCCTGGTTAACCTATCCAGCATCACATCCTTAAAGAAAACCACCTTTCCCTCTCCCAGCAACTTATCCATTGCCAATAGTTCTTCAGCTAGGGTTGGGGCTTCTTGCCCACTTCCCCACTTCTGTGCTGAGGTTTTTTTCTGGCTTGAGCTTACATGGGTTGTGCATGCTGTCAGCACTAATGTGAGTTCATATGAGTAATGGCTCAGCAGTCTGGGAAAACCTGTTTCCTAGTGTCATCCACCACCCCTGGCTCTTACAGTCTTTCTGGCCCCTCTTTCACAATGATTCCTGAGCCTTGGGAGGCAGAAGTTTGATATAGGTGTCCTATTCAAGGATAAGCACTCTGCAGTCTCTTATTCTCTGCACATTGACCACTTGTGGGTCTCTGTGTTAATCACCATCTGCTACATAAGAAAGCTGCTCTGGTGAGAGTTGAGAGGTGCGTTAATCTGTGTCTCTGGGCCACTTGGAGAGTCCCTGGTGTACAGCCAGCAGGGGAACAGGTGAATCCCAGAGGTCAAGAAAGTAATTTTTTTATGATCTTGTAACTCCTCAAATTTCCAGACTCTCTGTAAAACTCAAAATTTGTCACTTATCAAAACATGCTCTGGGAAGAGATACTCATTACAACATTCTCTTTTTATTTATAATGTTGTAAAGAATTAAAATTTCAGATCTATGTTTGTTTGCTATAATGCTTTATCTAAGAAAGATGAGACTTAAAGGGTTCCATGGCCTCCGTGGATCCCAGAGTATACAGAGAAGACATCTGAACACTCTTCTCTCACAGAAGTAACACGGGAAACATTACAACATATTTCCTAAAGTGCTCAGCTACCTGCAGTAGCATTCCTTCCATATTGCTGAGATAAGGAGTTTCATCATAACAAGTGCTTGTGCTCTGAGCATACAACAGAGCAAGGGCCCCAACATACAACAATCACAAAATGTCCCCTCCTGCCTTTTCTCTGAACCATGACTACCTAACCTTTATCATTGGGAACATACTAGCTTGAGTTCAATATTGTCATGTTTTAGTATTTTCAGAAAGCAAACTCTTTTAAGGGCTACTTTTAGATTTTTATTTAAGCTGTATGTTTTTTTAAACAGAAGCTATTTTTTTGTATATAAAAATAATATGTAACTTATTGGGCATGTTAAAGCTGTAATGATATGCTTCTAAAAAAGTTAAAAATAATATTAAAAAATAATATGTAGTCCCATCACCCAAAGATAATGAAATGTGGGCATCTTTAGGGGGCATATCTTCTAAACTATCATATTTATGTATTTAAAAAATTTTTATGCATGGGTATTGTATTTGCATTATTTTCTATCCCTCCCAGTTCCCCTCCAACTCTTCCCATGCCCCATTCCCTCGCAATTTCTTGTCTTCTTCTTTGATTTTATATATACATAAATGAGCCCATTTAATGGTGCTCTTGGGTGCCTGTGTTTACAGCTGCCCACTTAATATAATAACCTCTCAAGGAACTAGTCCCTCAAAAAACTGATTCTCCCTCCCTTGGCATCCACTGATTGCCTGTAGCTCTTATCTTGAGGTGGGACCCCGTGAAATGAAATATCTCCTGTTCACTTGCCATGTCCACTGGTTTTGTCATTATGCAGATCTTGTTAGAAAACCATACTGTGGGGATTTTCTGGGTGTAGCATCCCTGTCATGCTTAGAATTCATTAGCTAGCAGCAAGTGTCTTGTTGCACTGGCTCTCACAACCATTCCACCCTTCTTCCACGATGTTCCCTAAGCCATGGGTGTAGAGGTTACATCATTTAGGGCTAGGCACCTCACAGTTATTCTCTTTGATCAGTTGTGGAACTTTGTAGTAGTCTCTATCTGTTGCAAAAAGAAGCTTCTTTGATGAGTGGTGAGAGGTGCACTTGTCTGTAAATATAAGGATCCAATATACTTAGCATACAGTAAGAAATTGCATTGGACTAGGGAAGTGACAGAAGTAGGTTCTTCTCTAGCATCTATGACCTCTCCAACCATGTGTAATTGGCTATGTTTACAGTATCACACGTGAATTCCCTCCCATTGAGCAAGCCTTAAGTCCAATTAGATAGCTGTTGATTACCCCTTAGATAAAAGTGCAGCTACTGTAGCAATAGAGATAATTTGCTGAGCTGATCATTGTTGTAGTTTGTAGGCTTACAGATGGACAGGGCCACTGGTTGGTCTTCTCCCTAGATGGCTTGCATAGTATCTTCTATGAGAGTTGGTCTTTGGGGAGGAGGCTTCCAGATCTATTCCAGCCCAATTTTCCCAAGTCCCGTGTCTGAAGTATGTCCTGTTTTCAGCAATATGATCTTACCTTCAAGTTCTGGGAGGCGATCAACAGCTGTGGCAATAGCCTGTATTATTTTGGGAGTCTCTTGGACTAGCATGACCAACACTTGAAAGGAGGTTTCCCTTGCCTGATACTGTGAAAGATGTTCCCTTATGTATGTACCTTGTTTTTTATTCACTTAATTATGTTGAAAAAGTTTGTTATCTTTCAGCTTGATTTTTTAATAACTTCACCAAATTTTTTGTACCAATGTACAATCATATATATATATATGACCAGTTTCTGATTTCTATCATTTCAGTTGTTTGCTATTAGTTATCTTCTTATCCAGGGAGACAACTATAGTTGAAGATTTTATAGCAATAATTTTAGCTAAATTTTATATTAATTGTCTGAAATCTTATTAAGACTAAATACACTGAAACACAAATATTTTACTCAATTTAGGAGAACACAAACTTCATTTCATCCCAGCCCTGATCGGCCCCTTCTTAGAAGTGACCTTGATACCACAACCAGATCTCCGGAATGTCATGATTCCCATTTTTCATGATATGATGGACTGGGAACAGAGGCGCAGTGGCAACTTTAAACAGGTAGGTAGCAGTATCATCAGCTGACAAGAGACTTACTTCTCTAGGGTGTCTCTGGCTTTCCCTGTTCAGCCCTGACCAGCAGACTCAGAGCCAGGTGGACCTGTCCTCTCTGATGCTACATGGCCTTCAGACACTTCTCTCCGACTTTGTGTGCTCTTGAACCTACAGGGAAGCCCTGAAAACCCATTTCATTCCTTTCAGCTAAAAAAAACAAAAAAACAAAAAAACAAAACCCTCTGATTTCCCAGGTCTGTATTTAAGAATTTACAGAGGGTTTATTTGATCCCGGTTGGACACAGCACAGAGGAATTGGGGTTAATGATTCTTTAAGTCATTGAGCTCTCAGTGGTCTGCACATTGTGTTTGGTGAATGGCTTAGCTTTGAGCATTTGATTCACAGTATGTTTTATCGCTCTTAGCTTGAAGTACTGAGAATTAATTTAAAGGAGAAAGCAGTGGAAAATCTTGTAAAAGAAATTCCAAGAAGATGAAGCTATCATTTCTTGCTGACATAGGTTCTGATAATTTCGCTTCAGTTTAAGGAAGATGGCTATTCATATTTGCAAAACCAGATCTGTAAAGAATCAGTTATTTTACCAGTCCAAGTCTCTTTAATGTGGGAGAAATAGAGATATGGTGCATTCACATAGGCACTGCACGAACCTGCTTGCCCACAGGATGTGGTCCTCCTCCATGCTTCTCCACATGAAGTCTTCTTCAAACATCAGAAAAGTGCTTGTCAACTGTACAAGCAATTTGATTGCATACACAGAGCTTTCCTATTGCCAAAAGCGTGGGCATTTTACTTGTATCAGTATATACATTTATTTTCAAGAAAGCTAAATGGTGAATGAAAGGTTATTTTAAAAATGTGCTTGGTAGGGGAGCTCATTTCCCCCTTACCTTTATCTCTTGATTGGCAGTGGGTTTAAATGACTAATTGGTCTCAGTCAAATATCCATCCCAAGCTCTAATTGTTTTAACTCTCTCTGGCCAGAGGTTTTTCACTTTCTGTCTCTTCTCTTGCCTTATATAGACTAAGGGATGTTTTTCTCTTCCTGATATTCAAGTTCCTAAGAATTTACATCCTTGAAAACATAAATGTTTTGACTACAGTTTTCAGGAAATATGTCCTTTCGGTCTCCTGCTGCTTACTGCTGACTTGGAATATTTCTGTGGCTCTGCCATCTGCACATGGATAGGATGAGTTCTCAACTTCAGCAAAGATTTAGTGCAACCTCAGACTGTTTTAGGAAAGAAAACAGATATAAAACACATTAAAGATTTAAATTAATGTATGTGGGCATGGTAGTTTACTGATGTTCTCATATATAGTGATATAAAGAAAAAAGAAATAGGACTTGCCAGTTTTTATAATCCCTAAAAAAGATTTTAAACATTTAAATTGGACTGGTAGCATTTCTGTTTGAATCACAGATAGATATCTTTGGCAGCAGGAGAAGCTAGCCAGCCGGGAGTGTGAAGTCATGTTAACTCCATCTAAATTAGCCCCCTAGAACTCCAAAGGGATGTCTGCTGTTCACCATGGCTGATAATATCAGTTTCACAAAGTGTTTTACAGCTTTCTCCCTGGCATAAGGAAATGTATTCTAATTTGCCTAGAAATCTTACATGTGAGGTGGGAAAAAGAGATTAATATTTGGGTGTGTTTCAGGTGGAAGCCAAGCTAATTGACAAACTGGATAGCCTGATGTCAGAGGGCAAAGGGGATGAAACATACCGTGAGCTCTTCAATAGTATGTGAGTAATGTGTTTACCTGATTCTTTTCAGGGGCTGTAGTGTCAGTACTGAGCCATTCTGCACCACAGTAGCTGAGAGCTACCGAGACAGCTTGGGTCTCACAGGAGTGCTTTGTCTTTGTGGCGTGTGAAATAAAGGATAATTGCCAAAGTCTGGCAAGTGGATCTTATTATGTTGATGATTAGACATGTCTCCTTATTTTAATCTCAGATTAGGACAGGTCATCAGTGTTGCATAACAAAGCTCACTCTTTTCATGCTTGATAATTTTAAGGGGGAGAAAAAGAGGCCATTGTTGCAAGATGATGGTTTTAAGGAGGGCTATGAGTGGGAGAGGAAGAAAGGGGTATGATTATAATGTTTGTACACAGTGCTTCCCAAAGGAAGATGTCCTTAGCTGATTTGCTATTTGAAAAATTAATGTAGTTTGTGCCTGCTCTTTAATGCCTGACTTAATCCTTAAATACTGGCATTTGCTTGGGACTGTTCATTGCTTCTTAAAAGCTTCTTATTAGAACATTACCAAATTAAATCATTTCTGTAAGTTTTGTGTTTTGGATTTGCAAGGAGGATAAATGAAAAAATGGTGTTCTATAAAGGGATGTTGAGATTGTCCTTCCTGGCTCAGTCTGATTTCAGTCACAGATGGATTGCTTGTATCATGCATTGATTTTCTGTGTCCAAATGGCTAGAGAGGACCTGTGGGAATGGCTCAGTGCTTTGGGGTTTCCCTCCTGGCTTTTGTTTTCTCTGTGACTTTCTATGGATCTCAGTCACTTTTAAACGTATTTTTATAAAGTGTTTCTTTTTTAAGGAGAATTAGTTCACAAGCTTGGAAAAAATGCTTGCAGTTCTTTTAGAAGTGCAAAAATAATTCAACAACACATTTCCCTCTTGTTTATATTTATGTCCAACCATCACCTAAAACTAAATATGAATGCTTTTGTACTGATAACTAAATGCAAGTTTTTGTACTTCCTTTTAGCATCATTAATTTCCAACCGTGAAAATAATCATTTGTAGGTTCTAAGAATACAATGAGTGACTGATAGATTAGATAGATTTCAGTTTGCCCAATTCAAAATCATCCTTGAAGCTTTCGGGAAAGTTATATTAAAGGAAAAGCCAGGAAGGGCTGTAAAGATTTCATGTGATGGTGGTGGGTGATAAAATACATTGTACAGAACCCTCAACACCATTTTCTTTTGATACTGTAGTTAAACCAAAACTTTTAATAATTATTCACCAGGCCCTTGTTCATTCTTGTGTACAAAGCATCTGTCTTTCATGACAGCCGGAGTTTAGTGAGAATTCTGATTAAAACCTCATCAAATATAATAAATTGCCTTTGAAAACTGCCCTCATTTCAGTTGCTAGTCCTTGGTTTGAACAAAGGACTAAAATGAGAAAGCACTCAATTAAATGAACCTCTTGAGATTTGTGATTAATTATTTATAATAAATTTAGAAGATTAATAAATGCATGCTTGGTTATTTAATGTCTCTTATCTACTTTAATAAAGGCCTGATAGCATGCAATTTGGCTCACTTGTGTATAAATATGACTTTGAAATTGAAGATGTACCTTGACATTAGAATTAAAGTAATAATTAAGATATTAAGCCTCTATAATTAGGAGTCGTTCAAGAAACCTGATACATTCAATGGAGATTTTTATTCTTTTGTTGATTTTCAGCATATTACTAGAAATGTTACTATAAACGTTTTTAATGCTTTTGTGATCAACATATTAAGAGTAAATCAAATCAAAAGTGATGATTAAATAGCATTACTACCTTGGCTCCAGAGAGAAAGTGAAACTCTAAGTGTATTTCAAAAAGCCAAAATGCTTTTTTGGCAATGGAAATCACAGTGAGTTTGTGTAATCACAGTGAGTCACTGCACACATCATGAGTTAGGAAGCATGCTGCTGTGGCAGATTCGAGTTTGTTCATGTCTAAAACTTCATAGAATTTTTCAAAAAATGAAAACCTGTAAGCAGCTCAGTGCTTCCTAAACTGGAGTACTTGCCAAAATAGCCTCCTTAGAGTGAGACTTTTAGTTTGTGCAGTGCCTTCCTTGTGAAGAATCCATCCATCTTTCCAAACTCTCAATGTTTTCTTTATTTACTTATACTATTCCTTTTTGAAATCAGTGGGATTTACTATTTCTGATAATACTGAAATTTTGTATCATAAACCACAGCATGAAAGACTCAAAATAGAACATCAAAGCTAAATTCAGCTTTACCTGGCTCCACCTGGTTCATAATTTGGCTTCTTTTGCTGGGTACCTCCTGGGCGGACAGACACTTATGTTAGGCTAGGATTTGGCAGACACTTGTGTTAGGGTAGGATTCGGTGGTGGCTATGCCTGGAGCACACAGCAGAGCTGCCTGTTGCTCTGAGGTACCTAAAGTGGCTTTCCAGAAGTACCGTCCACTTTGGTTCTTCCCTCCACTCTGTCCAATCCAGCAAGACTCCAAATGATTTCAAAGACCTTTATCTAATGATTTATGTCTTGCTACAGCTTGGGGATAGAAGACTAGCTCTGTAACACCAGGCCTTAAGTATCTAAATCTGCTGTTTGGGTTGTTAAAGATGAGTATGCCTTTCAGAGTAATGGTCTCAGTGTGATCCTGTTATGATGTAGAAAGGCAGATTAAGAATCAAACCCGCCCACTCTCCACCCCCTTTTCATGGTGAAGAAAGTCATCAGGTGTGTTGTGGTCTATCCTGCTTCCCAGTTGATGGATTCCCATTGCACATACCTGAACAGTCCTGTCAGTCAGCAACAAGAAACTATCTCTTATTTTATCAAATGGTATCTCTGCACACTCCACACCAGCACAAGAACATGGTCCAATTTCACTCAAGTTATCTAAAGACATTCTTCCCCTGTTTTGGAGATCCTCTCCTTCTCAGGTTGTATCAGGTGAACTGGAAGGTAGAAAGGGTCCCAAATGAAGGATCGCGCCTAGCTAAGAACACAGATGAACCAGGTTTTAAACTTAATCTTAACATTTGGTCTAAAGTCAGTGAAGAAAGCAGGCTGTACAGAGAGAATGATGTAGCTCTGATTTCCGACTACATCAGGAAGCTGTGCAAATTAATGAAACTCATAAATGAAGCCTCAGTGTATTTTTAGAATTATTACTTAACTTGAGCTCTTTGTTTTTTAGCCTCTAAGTATGTGGGGTGTGGGCTGTCACTTGGAGAAATTTCTGCATCATCTTGCATTGCTTTGGCAGAATTTAAGGACTCGGTTCAATACCAGTTTGCCACTTATGCTGGAAACAGGTGCTGTTCAGAGGTTTTAAAATGAAAACACATTTAAACAAACTAAGAGCCTTCCCCTGGAAGATCAGTCAGGGCAAGTTCCTTACCTTCCATGCACAGTCTCTGACCAGCTCACTCAATCTAGAAAACAGTTTAAAATCAATCAGGAAAGCATATGATCTGACAGGCAACAGATATGGAGAAAAGACAGAAAGAACACTGGGTACTGGAATGGCAACAACAAGAGAAGACCAGGAAATGGAGAGAAATTGGAAGAGAACACAGTCACAGACAAAATAAGTTTGATCCACAGAGAGCGTTTCCCTTTTTTTTTTTTTTTTTACTAAATACAGATATGGTATGCTTAGATTATACTTATAAGAATCTCCCTCCATCCTCCTCTTGAAATCAAGATGTAAAGAAAATAAACAAGATTTTAGACAGAAATGATGATCATTGAAATCGGAGGGGATGCTGATAGTCCATGCTTCTGTTCTTTTATCTTTGGGGGAAGTTCAGTTGTGAAAGCCATGCCAAGTACCATTGCTAATTTGCAGAGAGGAGCAAAGGCAAAACAGGTCTTCATTATGACGACTGTTATTATTTTGTGTTTACATAGTGCCTCTGCTCCAAGGTATTTGGGATTAGGAGAGACGTAGGAAGGGAGATGTGGCTCAGTGCTTGTCATCAATCTGCTGTAACAACCACTTAGAAAATCCTCTGTGATTAATGACAAAATGAATGAAACCCTTGACTGAGTGCACAGATAGTACAATATGTATTGAGTGGGCAAATGTTAAGTGAGAGGAAAAAAAAAACGCAAAACGTCACACCGTCTGTACAAGGATTTTCCTATAGCAGTTGCATTGCAGTAAGATTGCTTGGATGAAGATGCATTCCACTGAGAGGTAGGAAAACATTTTTATGGGAATAAAGCAAAATCTTTACTTAGAAGTAAACTTGGCGGTCCTCCTGTTTTCGCTTTCGCACTGTTATTCAATGTGGTAAGGCGCAAGTCTCCATTAGTATAATAGAGAAGCTAGGAAAAAAATGTCTGAACTGTGAGATGCTTGTGTATTTTTTAAAGCATGATTATATGCATGTGTTCATGTTTTGTGACTTGGATAATCTGAAAATCATTTGCTTTGTCAATGCTTCCTGGATTAGAATTCCACTATTTGGTCCCTATCCTAGGTAAGACATTGTTTGCAAATTGTGCTACTTGTGAGATGTTGCAGTGGTTGCTAAGGCATTTAAGGTACTGATGAAAGTAAAATGGTTGTCATGGTGATTGATAAAAATAAGTGTTGAAAATGCCCTGGGTTCTTTCTTTTCCAGTCTACTAAAGAAAATTGAGCGGGAAACATGGAGGGAAAGTGGCGTTTCATTAATTGCCACGGTTACTCGGCTGATGGAGAGGTTGTTAGATTACAGGTAAGCCATGACCCAGGACTCCAGATATGCTGCCTTCTAGTTAGATGCTTAAAAAGCTAAATTATAATTAGCATTCCACTTGAGTTAATCACTCAAAGAATTGTTAATCACCCCCCCTGGACTTGGAACCATCTAGTTCAAAGTTTTTAATTTGGCTTTGATTTTTGTTGGCTTGTTTGTTTAGTTCTCTTTGTTGATAGTTCTTTCAAAGGATTGTTGAGTTGAGAGAGTTCTCAGAGTCCTTGACAGTCCTCCAAAAGGAAAAGAAAAGAAAAAAAGAAAAAAAAAGAAAAAAACAGAAAAATCTTTTGGTATTTAGACTCATCCACTAGAAAATCATCTGTGACCCATCCACTTTGGGATGAAGATCGTAGATGTGGAACAGGTTGCTTACTATTCTGTGCATTTTTTTTCCTTTTCCAAATTTTTTTTTTTTTTTTTTTTTTTTTTTTTTTTTTTTTTTTTAATCTTGCCTTTAGAGCAGTTTTTCCAACTTCTATCAGTGATAGTTCTCTTTTACTTTAAGAACAAGGCTCTCCTTCTCCTCCTCTCTGACCAGACTTACCATCTGCTTTTTCGCGTGCTGTGGGGGTGTGTGAAAGTTACCGTCATTCTTTCTGCTCCCTGAGCCCCTGCCCAGGGACAGTTATTGACAAAACAAGTGAAGTTCTCAGCAGAAACTGCTGCTTAAGAGTCGGTCTCTGGCTTGCCGGTCCCATTAAAGACCTTCAGCTGCAGTTGCCTCCCTGAGACAATACCCGCTATCACCCCTGATCTCAGACAGCGCTCCACTGGCCCCCCACAAACACCAAAGAACAAGCTATGTTTTCCCCATGGAAGGAAGTTCTGACTTATGACTCTGGTGTTTTCTTTTTAGGGACTGCATGAAAATGGGAGAGGTGGATGGTAAAAAGATTGGCTGCACAGTTAGCCTTCTGGTTAGTAACCTAGTCTCCTTTTTCTCTTAATCTTTGTTGTTCACAGAAATACCGATTTTTTTAAATTGTTTTTAATCTGCAGTGTACTTTTTTGTCTAGATGTTTCTCACATGAATTTAGAGATGTTTTTGAAAGAAAGATGTCAAGTTTTACGTTGAATGAGAGCCCAGAAAATTCTGAGCTCTGAACATTTGCAGAATATGTCTGCTGTATGCCAGTAGCAAGGGAGCAAGCAGATCTTGGTGGCATCTCAGAGGGACGGGGTGCGGGGGGTGGGGGACGGGTACCCTCTTCCCCGATGCATTGTTTCCCAGCTTAGAGTCTTGTTGCTCTCCTAGGAAAAGCACAGTAACCAAATGAAGGTCCTTTTACTTCTCTGTTGACAGTATCTCTCTGCGTTTGTCCATTTTCTTCCTCAAAGAGTTATAATCATCCTACATTTTAATAAATGTTACTGACCTCATCTTTTGTAAACTAATAAAAGTTTTCTGTTTCATACACTAACTTTCACTCACTAGCCTTTTGCAAATTGAATTCATAATAGCACTATTGCTAAGATTTGTATTATAACCAGATGACCATTTAATTTATCACCCAGACATTTTTGAGAGTAAAATTAAATATATAACGACAGCAGTCTAAACCACAATTATCCTGGGCCAACCAAAATTCATATAAAGTGTCACCTATGTAATTTTTAAATCAAATGGTAGTCTCACCGCACACACAAAAAAGAATGATCATACATAGGATGCTAATTTTCATATTTTACTATGGGTAAGTTAATACTTTTGATACCTTTCTTAAATCAGATTTAGAATACAAGAGGAATGGTTACTTCTAGTTCTAAGTCCCTGAATGTTACTTTCTTTCTCTTACATTCTTCAGCTCACGTGAACCCTCATTATCCATTGTAAATCCTTGTGCTGTTGTTCACATTTTTACCCTGATCATCTGGACCCCACATGCCGTATTCTGTCTCTGCCCACACCTGGAAATTTTGTTTTACCCCCTGCTTTAATTCGGTCTCGCCTAGTTCATTGTTTTGTTTTGTTTGGTCCCTCTTCACAGCTCTGAACTTGCTGTGACTCTTTATGTTTCCCTGATCTTTGCTGCACTGCTCTTCACTTCAGACGGCCGGCCCCCATCCTTCTTTACCACACCCACCTCTGCCTTCTCATTTTTAACTTGCATCTTACTCATATTCATGAAGTTTTATAATTTTCTTCCTTGGCTCTAACAGTGAGCTCCAGGCCGTCAGCCCACACCCTCTCTGTCACCCATTTACCTGCCCCCTTCTAAGCTTCACATGGACTTTCCTTCTGTCCAACCTCCCATTTTCTTGCCTGCTTCTGTCAGTCTTCAGTCGTGGTCAGGAGCTACAACCTGAGTATTTCCATATCCCTGCCTGTATGTCAGTGCTTGAGGAGAACAAACAAGTGCTGGGTAAGCTTCAGCTGAATCTGTAACCCAGATTCAGGTACAAAGTCTCATAAATAACCTAAAAGTAAAATTTTACCTGTTTCTTAAGGAATTCTCTTCCATCATCTTCACCTTTCCCAAATGCCTCTCTGGTGGTGACGAGATTAATGCAGTCCCTAGGTTCATCTCCTTAAACAGAGGAGATCCTTTTCTTTGGTGACAGAATTACTACTTTGCCCTGATTATGTTTGCTGTAGTCATAAAACCAGTGACCCTGGTGTAATCACTTGAGACAAGAAATCATGCTGATAGCTTTGCAGTAATGAAGAGTAGTCCTCGTAGATAATGTTAGCATTTGGAAAGCTGTTCCAACCTCAGCCCAGCATAAGAATACATATTAAAGGACCAAATCTATCACTTTGAAGCTAATCTTTTTAGCTCCTATTCCATATGGAAAGTTCTTGATGTTTTCTAACCACAGTATGGTTCCCCTAACTACTCAGTTCCTGTGAGATCAGTGGTAGATTCTGTTCAGGAGACCTCTGGCTCCTCAAATGAGATCTGAGCTTAACTCCTACTGTGCAACTGGTAAAAATGCATATTTGACATGACTAATATGAGGAATCTTAATGATTATTTTGTACTCTGTGTCACAAGTTTTACCAGACATATGTGTGAGATTGTCATCTGCTGGCTGGGGCAATGTTGGGGTTTTTTTTTGTTTTTTTTTTAAGAAGAACTATTCATCCACAGAGCAATTGTTTATTTTTGCTCTCAAAGAAAGTAGCTTCTTACCAGAAAGCTATTAGAGCAAATCATCCTTTAATAATGTAAAACCTGCTGTGGGGTTTTTAGACTATGTTTATGGCACAACAATTCTTGCTAATTAAAACGATTTGGGTTCTAACGAGAGAGATTTGAGTAGCATTATTTATGTAGCTTTTTAAAGAATGCCAGAATCTACAGGAAACAAAAGTAAGGAGGGAACTAATGGTGTAACTTGGAAATATATTTGTGTGTGTGTATATGTGTGTGTGTATGTGTGTCTCACATATATAAAAATATATATATAATGATATATTCAACTTAATGCCAGTGCCTGCATGATTAGAAGAGTCCTTGGTTTCAAGAATGGAAACCAGTTAAATAATGGGCAGAAAATGCATTTGAGAGATAGTCATCTGGTTTCAACCCAAGTACAATTTAAGCAGCCCTACTGGATAGTTTGAGCCTTTACCAAAGCCCTGACTAGTTAATCAGCAACAGAAGCATACAGAATTCCTGGCTTTTTCTCTTTCAAAACCCATCACTCCTTCAAGTTAACAGATCCCCCTGCCCCCCAATTACTACTTGTTGCCTTTGATCTGTAACCAAGTAGCAGCAGTCTGATATTATAAGTAACACCAGCGACTTCAGTGTCTGAAGTGGTTTTTCAGAATGCACAATGATCTCTATACCCAGGTAAGTAAGCATTGAGGTTTTGCTAAAAATTGATAAAATGTTTCAGAGAATTTTCATATGATCTCATATACCCAGGTGAGTAAAATGAGTTTTTGGTAAAAATTGTTAAAATGTTTTAGAAAATTATAAGTCCATATTTATAAAAAATTTACAAAATAAGATATTTTCAATAAACATGCTCCATAGTAATAGGTAGAAATAAAACTCTCTGATACCTTTATGTTTGGGGCATAAAGTGGAAACATTAAAACTTTAACACATAGAAAAAAGTTTTTTAACAGGGGGGCTGTAGAGATGGCTAAGTGGTTAAGAGCACTGGCTGCTCTTGCAGAGGACCCATGTTTGGGTCCCAGCACCCACATAGGGGGTAATGCCCTCTTCTGGCCTCCGCAGGCATTGTGTGCATATAGACTGACATGCAGACTCGTAGACATAAAATAAAAATTAATAATATTTTTAAAATTTTGTTTATTTTTATAATGTGTATGAATATATTGCCTGCATGTGTGTAAGTGCACCTGTGTTGTCGTGCAGTGCCCAGGGAGATCAGAAAGGGTATCGGATCCTGTGGAACTGGAGATACAAACAGTTGTTAGCTGCCATGTGGGTGCTGGGAGTCAAACCCGTGTCCTTGCAAGAGCAACCAGTGCTCTTAACCACTGATCCATCTCTCCAGCCCTAATAACATTTTTAAAAAAAACAACACTAGTTAAACTAACAGCTAGGAAATGCACCTTGACATGAAGAAACGTTTTCATCTGTGCTCTTTTATGTAAGCTTCCAGGGGAGAAAATGCTTTTACATTTTGCTTATACATGCTTACCTTATGTCCTAGAGAATATTTTTCTTTAGAAAAAAAATGTGGCCTTTCAAATAAAAGAAAATAACCTTTGACTATGAATCAGCAAATTGAATATAGAGGTAATCTATTACATGGTTTAATATTTTAGTTGAATAGACTGATATGCCCAGTTGACAGCTAAACTAATTACAAATACTTGAAAATAACAAAAGAACAGTTAGGCTTGTTGGTGTGCGTGCCTATAATGTAACTAGGGAGTCTCAGGGAGGAAGGTCAGACCATGTGCTCAAGGCTAGCATGGGCTACATGGCACATCCCTTTCTTAACAAGAAAAGGCAAGTTGGGGAATGAAAAGGAAAATGAAAGAAGAAATTTGAACTATGATTATAACTCAAGAAAGAATCACCAGCTTATCTAGAATTGCTTAATGATGTCTGTCTGACACAGATGCTGTCAAATAGAATCTGTGGCAATCGTTGAACCTCTTTATAGGCCTGTCTGGGGGAAAAGCATTCATACCTGTACTCTTTTCACAGAACTTCTATAAGACCGAACTGAACAAGGAGGAGATGTACATACGCTACATCCACAAACTCTATGATCTGCATCTCAAAGCGCAAAACTTTACAGGTAATCCTGCTTGGGGCTCAGACTGGGGGAAGCAAGCTTATAATGATGTATTAAACATGGTAACTCCTCTGCTTTTTGTAATTAGAGCTGAAGATGGAAGCATTTCTATTTCAAAATTGAAATGCATTTTTAATTGTATGTATGTTTCTTAAGACTTTTTGACTATTATCTCTTTGCATGATTTTTCAGAGATTGCCTTTGGGGTTATGAAATATATACCTAACTTTTTACAGTATATTTATAGTTAGTGTTTTGTTTATAACCATACAATCCTAGTATCCTCTCTACTTTGAGTAGAACCCCATGTGTGTATTGTATCTGTCTGCCTTTAAAACTCCATCAAATATGTCATCATTTTTACATTTCATGGTCATGCTATTTTTAGAGAATTTTTAAATGGTGTATTATATTTACTAAGCTATTAATTATTTTGGTGACCACCCATTCATGAAGTTCTTGGTTTCCCTCCTATTATTTTCACTTATACTGAAGAATTTTAGTGTTTTTTGAAAGAACTCTAATTGTGAGAAATTCTCTTGTTTTCCTTCATCTAAGATTTTTTTTTTTCTTTTTATGTTGGTCAACTTTCTGTTATTGAAACAAACTATCTGTGAGCATCAGCTTATAAAGGACAGAGGTTTGTTTTGGTTCACAGATTTGGAGGCTTCAATGTGTAGTTAGCTACCCTTGTTGCTTTTAGGCTTGTGTCAAAGTAGCATGTGATGACAGGAAACATGCACACAAATTACAACCAACTATGATGTGAGAGAAAGACAGAGAAATGGCCTTACAGTCCTCTTCAGGCCATGTCCCTCATAACCTAAAACTTTCCAACCATCTCTCCATACCACTGACTTAAGGACCAACTTTAACACATGTGCCTTTGGTGGACATTCCTTATCCAAACTATAGCACACCCTCATTCCTGGAAAATGTGTTTGCTGAATCCAGAATTCTAAGTGAATAGTTCTTTTATTTTAATATAGTTAAAGTTTTTTTTTTTTTTTTTTAATGTATATGAGTGTTTTGCTTGCATGTAAGTACACCATGTGTGTGTAATACCTGTGGAAGCCAGAAGAGGGGTCTGATCTGGAACTGGAGTTACAGATGGTTGTTACCTGCCATGTGGATGCTGGCTGGGAACCAAACGTGGGTCATCTGAAATAGCAACCAGTGCTCTTAAAAGATTGACTGCTGAGTCATCTTTCCAATGCCTTTTTAAAATATTTTTTAAGTATTGCTCCATTATCTCTTGGCATCCCTGGTTTTGGATGAGAAGTATGTAGTTATTGAATTACCTATTGTAAGTGCTTACTGTTTGCATTTAAGAGTTTATCTTTGACCAGGCATGGTGGGGCACACCTTTAATTTCAGTACTTGGGCGGCAGAGACAGGTAGATCTCTGTGAGACTGAGACCAGCCTAGTCTACACAGTGAGTTCCAGGCCAACTGGGGCTACAGGGAGAGAGACCCCATCTCAGAAAAAAAAAATATTATCTTTGATCTTCAGTGTTTAATTATGATGTGTGGGCATGGTTTTCTTTAAGCTTAATATATTTGGTTTTCCTGAGCTTTTCTGATCTCTAAATTTATTATCTCTAAAATTACCAATTTTGGTAGGTTTTTTGGCATTGTTTTCTCTATATATTTTATATAGCAATCTTTCTTTGGGGGCTGAAGTCTATGAGTATTTGTTCTTTGGTCATTATCCCACAATTCCTGGGACTGCCAACTTCACTTCTTTCTGCTCTCAGAACCACTGATGCTCTGTCATCTCCATTCAGCTACTGTGCTCTTTTTATTTTGTTATTTATATTATTCAGTTCTGAAATTTATATTTTGTTATTTTCTTTCTATAGCTTCAATTTCTATGGGAAAAATCCCCACCTATTCATTTGTTTAAGAGTGTTCATGTTTACTATGCCGATCTTGGTTTTAGTTGCTGCTTCATAGTCTAAAATTCCATCATGTGCGTCATCCTGGGGTTCTCATCTGTTCATTGCCTTTTCCCTGGGAGAGTTATTGAGTTCTCTGGCTTCTTGAAGGCCAAGTAATTTTAGATTACATCCTGAACCTTTTGAACATTATATTATGAGACTCAGGATTCTGTTAAAATCCAGAGAATTGTTGATATTTTTTATTGTAGGTTCAAACCTCAGATCCTGCACCCTCTTCTTAAGATTGTGCTCTAATGTCAGCTTGGTTTTCGAGGCCTCTGCACTGCTATTTTACTTTCCTTGCATGTGCACCACCTAACAGGAGTCCTGGATCCTTAGCAATGATCTACACCATTGTTCCTTGGCTATGTCAGTCATTATCTGTTCTACAACTGGGAGCCTTGGAGATCAGCCCAAGCTTCATACACAGAATGAAAAGATCTTTTTCGCACCCCTTCTTCTCTATGGTCTCCCCACCCTTTCCATCCCAAGACACTTTGGCCATGAAGTTCAGGCAAGATCCTCTTCACGTTTGATGTACTCCACACCAGTGGTCTGCTGGGGCCTAAGCAGTAAGAAGGAAATGTCCATGGGAACTACTGTGCCAATGCCCCAATTGCAATTTACAACTCTCTTCCTGGGACCCACATAGGGAGAGGCCAAAAGAGTGTATGTAAAGAGCTCTATTCCTTGGAGAGCCGTCCCCCAGCTCTCTTGACTAGACAAGCTTTTCTTGAAGCTTTGATTGTCTGATCCCATTTGTAGTTGCAGGAGCTAAAGAAGTCTAAGACAGGAGATACCAAAGCAGCAAATAAAAACAGACAACTAAACACATTATGAGCATTCTTCAAGTGTTGTTTTTCCTACTTGGTTCACCTGATCTTATTTATTTTTTAGACTCCTCTAATAGTTACCTTATATATTCTGTCAAAGTGTTTCATTCTGATTACTGGTAATGAAAGAGTAGAAGGTCCTTGCTTCAACTTAGCTAGAACCATTTCCTTGGATTTGACAACTGCAAATCCTGGACTTCACCACACTCTTCCAGGGATCTCTTGAACTGTGGCCCTTTCCTCAGTTTTAAGTTAGAAAAGGAACCCTTCCTATAACAGCTCTGGAATTTAAGTATGCCTCCATCTATGGTTCCACTAGCTCTGTAGCATTTCTCTCTGCTTAGAGACTTTAACACTATCCTTGACTCTTTTTAACTCCCTCAGGTTCATGCATGAGATTCTATGAATTCTTTTTCCCCAAAACATCTCAAAACCATTTCTTTTTCATTATTTCCACTTTTACTGTCTCAGCCAGCCACTTCATCTGGTGTCTGGACTTCCTCTTAACTGTCACCAGAGTTATTCTCTAGCACAGGGGTCAGCAAAGTACCACCTGCATTTTGTACATGCCTGATTTTGTAAAGAATGAAACTGATTAGAACTCAGACTTGCCCACCTACTTGGATATTGTCTGTGGCTGCTTTATGTGCTTTAGTGGCAGACCAGAGTGGTTGAGATGAAGACCACACTGACCACAAACCTAATTATTTACTGTCTGACCCTTTAAGAAAAATGTCCTCACCACATCTTTAGATGTACCCCTTTTAGAAGTTTATTTGTTCTACAATGTAAAGTTAACCCTTTATTCAAGGTCTATCATGATTGATCATCTGTCCAACTAGATTCACACTTCTACCAAATGCTTGCTTTTCATCCTTCACGACAACTCCTTCATCATCTTTTTTTTTTATTTTGAACTTGATGACAATGTGGTTTTTGTCTTTGAGTCCATTTATATGATTAATGACATTTATTGATTTGAATATATTGAACCATCCCTGCATCTCTGAGATAAAGCCTACTTGATCATGGTGAATGATCTTTTTGATGTGTATGTGGTTTACAAGTATTTTGTTGAGAATTTTATCTATGTTCATTAAGGATATGGGTCTATAGTTTTCTTTTTTGGTTGTGTCTTTACCCAGTTTGGATATTAGAGTGATGCTGGCTTCATAGAAGGGATTTGGGAGTTCTCCTTCTATTTCTATCATTTTGAATAATTTAAGTAATATTGGTTGGAGGTCTTCTTTAAATGTCTGGTAGAATTCTGCTGTAAATCCATTTGGGCCTGGGCTTTTTTAAGTTGGGAGACTTTGTATTACTGTTTCAATTTCCTTATATATTATGGATCTGATTAAACTGTTAATCTCTTTTGGTTTAACTTTGGTCATTCCCATGATTTTAGGTATCCATCCATTTCTTTTAGATTTTCAAATTTAGTAGTATATAGGTTTTAAAATATTACCTTATAATGTTCTGTATCTTTTTTGTGTTTGTTGTGATGCTTCCCCTTTCATCTCTGATTTTGTTGATTTGGAGGTGCTCTTTCTTTCTTTTGGTTAATTGGGCTAGTGGTCTGTCAATCTTGTTTATCTTTTCAAAGAACCAGCTCTTGGAATTGTTGATTCTTTGTATTGTTTTCTTTGATTCAATTTCATTGATTTCTGCCCTGATTTTTGTTATTTC